TGCTTCTGAAGATGCACACACACAAGAGTGCTCACATGTGTCTGCACACACTAATACCTGCACTCACACGTGCATGCTCACATGCAGAAACACATGCATGCACAAACAGTTCACACATATGTTCACACGATCATTCAGGTACACACACACACATACACACACACACACACGCTCACACATGTTCACACATGGGCACGTGCATGGACTCCCATACATGCGCACACATGTACTCACGTGTATGCTCACACAAAGGCACACGCTCACTTGTATTCTCACAGTACTTGCACACACACGAACATTTGCACACATGCATACTGAAGCGAACCGTTTAGTCTTGCCTTAATTATGCTTCCTCAAGTTATTGAGGTTAAGACTGAGTTGCAGGGTGAGAGATGACAGCCCTTATGTTACTGGAGTTTTCTGTCCCTCCAGGTCCTACTACCACTTTTCAGCCCCAGATAAGCACACAGGGACTTATTAATTATTAAACTGTTGGCCGATATCTAGGGCTTCTTTTTGGCTGGCTCTGTCTTAATTATTAACCCATTTCTATAAGTCTATGTATTTCCATGTGGTCTTGGCTTACTGGAGAATGCCCAGACCTGTGACTCCTTCTGTGACCACATGACGTCCCTCCGCAGTCCCTCTCTGCCTACCTTTCCCGGAATTCTCCTCATCTCCTAGCCCTGTCTATCTTCCTGCCTCTATTGGACAAACTGTGTTTTATTCATCACCAATAATATATATATATATATGTATATATTATATGTACACCTCCCCCATCACCCTTATGCTGGCCCCTTGGTGGTTTTACTGAGGAGTGAGAGAGAGGCAGGCATCCAACAGTCACTACTCAGCGTTATAACCCTACAAGCGGCCCTCAGACGCGTGTCAAAAGACAGTGGAAAATGGAGGAGCCATTCTGTTGTCCCACACTCATGACAGACAGCGACTTGCGTTTTCCTGGTTAACAGAGAAATATAAAACCCCTCGTTAACATTCCCAGCCCTTTCTTGATAAAATAATCGCAACACCCGCTGAGCTCGACACCATCCTGAGGACACGGACAGGAGGAGACTGACCAGTGTCCACAGAACTGTTGAAGTCAGCCTCTGACTTCAGGGACGGGGGATGGCATTTACCGTCCTGCGTATGCCACAAGACCTACTTCGGCGTGGTTGAGTAAGTGCTTCATGGGACTGCCCGGATGGCCCAGAATCTGCCTGCCCACTCTCCTGGGGGCAGTCAGCAGCCTGATGAACGAGGCTGGCGTGGAGAATGGAAGTCTCTACCTTCCTGACTTGTCCAGTCTGAGACTGACGTGTGCCACCCTGTGTCCCTGATTCCCTATAGATGATTATGGAAATCAGGACCAACTTGAGCTATGGAATAACATGAGAACCACCCAAGTATTCCAACCTTAGTCATATCAGTAAGAAAACCCTTTGCCCCTTGTAGGATCGGACAATGACCGTAAAATGCAAGGGTTGGGAGACTCCCAGTTCCCGCCTCTGCCCCACAGAATGTTCCAGGCTCAGCAGTACCACGGGAAAACGAGAGCAGCCAGCACAGAATGGCCAACTGCAGGATTTTACTTTTGCTTTTGCACCAGAGTCTCTTTATGTGGCTCCAACTGGCCTTGACACGATTTTCCCCGTTTTGGGATTGCATGTGTGTACACAATGACCAGCTCTAGCCTTCAAATTTTAGATTACATTAATTTTTTTTATATATAGAGTTTCATTATGTAGTCCCGACTGGACTGAAACTCGCTATGCAGGCCAGGCTGTCCTCAAACTTGGGAGATTTGCCTGCCTCTACTTCCACAATTGCTAGGATTAAGGCATGTGCCACTATACCTAGCCCCGTGTTCCTATTAAAATAACAACAACAATAACATCTTAGAATATGTGTGTGTGTGTGTGTGTGTGTGTGGTGGGCAGGTACACACACCAGGCATATAGAGATCAGCGGATAACTGAGAATTGGTTCTCTTCCACCGAGTGGAACAAACTCGGGTTGTTTATTGTTAGACCTGGAAGTAGCCACACAGGACAGTAGCAGTGGACTCTCCGCACCTTTCTGTGTAACTGCAGAAACTGCAGTGCTTTGAGACGCCACCCAGGCATGCCCCACACTGCCTTCTAGACAGTAGCTCAGCACACACGGTGGTTGATGTGGGACCCGGAAGGAAACAGCTAGAGGGAGACTCACTTTCTCCTCTTTTCATGTGCTCTTACATCCGGCTCCTTAATTTTTATAAACACTTAGTTCTAAGTGATATACCCCTTGAAGGGCATAAATGCAAGACAGACTAGAGGCTGGAATGATTTCACACAGTGCTAGGCAGCTAGACCAGAGGTTGTTGGCACACTGGTCTGCATCTCTGCAGTTTAAACAGGGTTGTATATCCATCCAGTCAGGCTGGGTCCTGCACAAGGAGACTCTATTGTGGGTACCACACCTCTGGCAGCTTCTGGTATCTATTCTCTTCAGCGCTGGCTCTGTTTATCACCGACAGTTTAGGCAGAGTTGGAGTTAATTAGGGTGTAGCTCAAATGTCAGGTCATTAAACAAAACTGTAAAAGGTAAATTGCCATCATAAAACATGACCCCTTGGATCAAACAACAGTTGCTCTGAAGCAGATACTTTTGTTACCACTCTCAAGGACACACATTAATAAATAACAGAGTTTCAAATTAGATACAAATGGCAGTAGACTGCGCTGTGGTGAGACTGTGGAACTTGAATCTAAAACATGACCAAGGATGGATACGACAAATTAAATATGGTATTGCTAAAGGTATGGGTGTGTACTTAACACTAGCAAGCTCTTTGAATTTTAGAAGCCACTTGAGAAGAGTGAAAGTGGTAGATGAGGAACAACATTGAAAGCCCAAGTTAAAAGACGTATATAGGACTCTTCTTTGAATTGAAAGATCAAATCTGAACGGAGCCACCCGTGGCAGCCAACACTGAGTGACAGTCTTGGCTCGATGCTCCTTGTCACACACCATCTGTGACCACTAATGAGGAAAACAGCTACCAGCAATTTCAGAGATTTCCAGAAGCCACGAACTCCGTCCCATTCTGTGGGGACTGGTGGCAGAGGTGCAGCCATTTCTGTTGGCTGCTGTGACTCACACTGAGCTGGCTGTGACAGATCGGGAACTCTTGAGGAAAGAGCTTGAGCGTTTCCTTTTTCACCGTCTTTTCGTAGTTGAAATGCTTTTCTTTTGGGGTAGAGGGAATTTTTGGAGCAGGTATAAGAAACACGGGCTCAGAGAGGCGCCTCCTTTCCTGGTGTTAAGCAACATCACCCAGGGGGTTGGACGGCTGGCAGCAGTCACCAGAGTTAGGCGCTCACCCACAGGCGGCCAGTGCTCACACATGGGTGTAGGCTCGGAAGTGCACTTCTGGTAGACACAGACGTGCTCATGGCACAATCACAGCAGACTTCTCCACGGACTCTGAACTTATCCACCCCACCCATGAGATGGAGCCTGCCCTGCTGCAGCCCGTGGCAGCCACCAAATGAGAATTGTGGTATTGCTTCACGGGCAGCAGACTTGCCCTACCCAGGTGTCGTGTGAAGCTCTTGAGTCCAGCAGCACAGAAAGCAGCAATGTAGTGTGCACAGGGTCCTAGAGAGAAGACTCCCAGGCAGAGGGTGCTCTGTAGGGCTCTGCTGGGGGCAGCCCATGCGTGAGGTGCTAGCATGGAAGTAAGTCAAGCTGGCCCAGCAGGCCCAGGGATCCTGCCAGCTACTCCACTGGTGGTAGAAAGTCTTGCGTGTGTGCATAGAGATGGCTGGTTCTGGAGAGTAGTTCCTCTATTGCTGGTGGTTTTCTTTACCCCCCGCCAGGTCCTGCTGCCTCTTCAGCCCCAAATGAACACACAGACACTTCATCAATTATTAAACTGTTGGCAGATGGCTAAGGCTTCTTACTGGCTAGCTCTGCCTTAATTATTAACCCATGACTACCAATCTACGTGTTTCTACATGGCCTTCTCTTACCAGAGAGCGCCTGGCACGTCCTATCCTCCTGGTCTCTACACTGCGTCCTTTCTAGGAGGCTATCCTGCTTCCTTCCCAGCATTCTCCTCATCTCCTAGTCCCACCTATCTATCTTCCTGCCTCTACCGGCTATTGGCCAAACAGTGTTTTATTCGCCAACCAATAAGAGAAACGTATATACAGAAGGACCTCCCCCATCCGTTCCTCCGATATCTAGAGGCGGTGTCGTTTGTCATACGGAGCATGGAAGCATGCCCACGGGTGCCCCGGTTCCACGAGCTCCACACACGCCATGACCCCAGCGTCACAGCCGAGGGTTTAGGATGAAGTACACCCCTTCAGTGTCCTTCCCTCCCCCTGTGAAGGAGCTGCTGCGGTGGGGACAATCCCTGAAGATGAGCAGACAGAATTCTAAACCTTGGTCAGCAGGGGAAGCCTGCCCTCTGGAGAGTGCACGGCATCTTACGGGACAAGCTGAGGCTGCTGGGAGGTGAGACCGGAGGGTGGGGTGGGGCAGCAGGTGTCTGTGCGCTGCAGGGCCCAACCACCGGTGTTGGTCACCTCTGTAAACATGAAGCGGTTGCCGGTTGCAGCGGGATGATCTGCCCTATGCTATTGGAGGCACCGAGTGAGGGGAAAGGACACTGGACTCGGCTTTTGCTGTCGTTGTTGTTGTTTTTGAGACAGGGTCTCTGTACACAGCCCTGGCTGTTGTGCAACTCACTGTGTAGACCAGGCTGCCTTTCAAGTCACAGAGATCTCCCTGCCTCTGCCTCCCAAGTGCTGGGATGAAAGGCGTGAGCCTCAAGGCCTGGCTGAACTCAGCTCTAGCCTTCTCGTTGATTAGACTGGGTTTTCTGAAGACAATGCACAAGAAAGGATTCTGAGCCCATGCTCATTCCTTGCTTGAACTTGGAGTCTTCTTGTTCCAGCCTTGAACAGCTGCACTGAGATGTATAATGTTGTGTCTGGCTACTGGTCTATCTTTGACAAACTTTTTATTGGAAGAAAGTCTCCAGCTCCAGCGTGGCCACATGGATCGTTGTTAGATGTGTCCTTGGGTGGTCCTCTGCCTGAGATGCCCTCTAGCTCACGGAGGCTGGGAAGTCTTCAGGATAATGCCTGTTCCCCTTCTCCATCTGTGCTGATGACAACTGATTCAGAGATGCTGGCTGGTCCCAAGGGGTAGCTTAGCATTAGGAGGTCCAGGGCTGGGCTGTAGTCCAGCTGGTATGTTGCCTGCCAGATGTGCACGAGGCTCAGGGTTTGACTCCATCATCATATAAAACAGTTTGTGGTGGTACATGCCTGCCATCCCTGTAATAGAGAGGGAGAAGCAAGAAGCAAGAAGTTCAAGGCTAGCCTAGAACACATGAGGTGCTGTCTTTAAAAAAAAATAGGGCTTTTTTTGGAGCTGGAAGGCATCAGAACAGTATTTCTATCAGCCCTGGGTAGCACATGCTGTCTATAGGGGGTGGGAGCATTGATAGGAGTACCTACTGGCCTCACTGCTAAGGGCTGGGTTTGCCACCCAAAGGTACCTGGGAGTCATCGTCACGCTGGTACCTGCGAGGGATTTTTTTTACAGGTGCAGTCCAGTTTAGGTGAGACACCCATGACCGGGGCCCCAGCATCCAATGGCTGCTGTCCTTATAGGACGTGTGTGGAGTTGCGAGGAGGAGGAGGAAGAGGAGGAGGAGGAGGAGAAAGAGGAGAAGAAGGAGGAGGAGGAGGAGGAGAAGAAAGAGGAGAAGAAGGAGGAGGAGGAAGAGGAGAAAGAGGAGAAGAAGGAGGAGGAGCAGGAGAAAGAGGAGGAGGAGGAGGAGGACGTGGAGAAGGGGGGAGCAAGAGAAGGAGGAAGAGGCTGCATGGAGACAGGAAGAAGCTGTGTGGAGATGGAGGAGGCCATACAGAGACACAGAGGGAGAAAGAACGAGGAGACAAAGGAGAAAGAACCACGTGGAGACAGGAGGAGGCCATGCGGAGGCCTCGGGGAGACAGAAGCAGAACAGGGTGGTCCCTCTGCCAGCTAAAGACTCCAAGGATCTCTGGCAGTACCAGAAGCTGGAAGAGGAGTGGTGGGGGGCCCTCCTCCGAGCCTTCTTTGTGTCAGAGGAAGTAAGGGTACCTTGGCTTCAGGTGTGAGGCACCCAGAGCTGTGGGTAGGATGGTCTTGAACTGCTCATCTTCACATGATGTCGCAGGAACCAGGCAGTCTCACCCGTACGCTGTCCTGGTCGCTGTCCAAGGTCCACCTGGAGTCTGCCTGTTCTGGCAATATTACCACCGCAACCTCCATTAATACGATCCACCACTGGCCGTGAGATGTGAGGGGCCGGCGGACCGGTTGGAGCTTGGGGCGGAATCACTCCCCTCTGCTGCCTGCAAGCAAGTAGAAGCTGTTTCCCAGGAAGGGTGAATTCTCACTTTGATGGGAGATGTCATTCTGTAAATACGTCTATCTTATCGGTTGGTGAATAAAACACTGTTGGCCAACAGGGAATGAAGATAGGAGGGACTGGGAGTCGAGGAGGATTCTGAGAAATGCAGCCAAGAGGAGGGAGGGGCCGTGGTGTGATCTCAGGAAGAGAGGATGCACGCATGAGGCCACGCCCTTGGTGAGACAAGTCCTTGCAAAAATACATAGATTAGTAATTATGGGTTAATAATTAAGTCATTGCTAGCCAATGAGAAGCCACAGCAAATGACCAACAGCTCCATAATTAATACAGTGTCCCGTGTGTCATTTGGGGGCAGAGACAGGCGGCTGGTGGGAGGAATGCATGTTACATCACTTTAAATGCACAATTCACCTCCCAGAATGGCTCTTAGTTCTTGCTTTTCCCTGGATGGTGTTCAGTACTTTGGTGGCAGCCGTCTCTCTCTCTAAACACACGCACACACACACACACACACACACACACACACACACGTGCGTGCGCCATTAGGTTGAGGATGGAAGCCTACACGGACAGGGAGCCTTCTGTTAGACAGAGATCTGGATTCCTAGGACAGCCCTGGTCCACGGAGAAGCAACAAGTTTTGTGTCTACACGGTGGACCCTGCTGTCTGGCTACATCTGCACATGCATCACACTCTCCTTGGCAGACTCACTGCCCCGACACGATTTCCTTCTGGGCTCGGCGGCCATCTCTCAGTGTTAATGTGGCAGAGGGCAGCTCCTGCGGGTCCTGGGACCCTCTCATGTGCATCAGGCTCTGAGTTAACGTCTTCCGGAGTGGCTCCATCCCTTCTTTGGCATCATTGTCCAGTGAAACTGACACAAGAAGGATTTACAAGGGAGGCTGTTGAGGAGCCAGAAACCAGAGGCACACTGAGCCTTCCCAGCCTGCAGGGGGAGCCTCCTGCGAGCTTGTAGAACCTTGGAGCAGTGTTTCTTGCCTGCTATACACTCTAGAGTTAAAGGAACGGGCTCTGCCCCAGAGCCAACAGCTGTCCCCAACCAGGGAGCTGACTGGCTCCAAATAGAAACTGATGACCCTTGACCTTGGGCACAGTCTAGCCCAGTGGGCGTCATCTTTGACTGTCCTTGACAAACCGGGCCCCACAGGAAGGAAGGAAGTGGAGGGTGTCCCAGTGTGTTGTTTCCAGGTTAGGGACACATGAGCACTCTTCCCCTGAGGGGTTATTTTTGTGTTTTGTTTTCATGAGACCAGTCTCACGTAGCCCAGGCAAGCCTCAAACTCACTACGTAGCCTACAACGACCATGAACTTCTGATCCTTCTTGCCTCTACCTGCTGGGATTACAGGCACGAACTACTACCACACTCAACTTACAAACTGCGGGGAATCAGTGCTGTGCAGAACTCTACCCACCGGGCTACAGTGCCTGCCCTTTGAACGGTGCATGCTTTGCTCCCTCTTTGAGTAGGGAAGACAAAAGGATGGGGAGGAGAAGGTCGTGTTTTTGGGGGGTGAGACCCACCTCTGCTTCTCCTGGGGGATATGCATGTGCATTTTTAAAAAGATGCATTTTTGTTGTGGTTGTTGCAGGTGACTCTGCTTGGACACCCCTTGGGGGAGGGGGTGGGAACACGCAGCACCAATGACTCCACGCACTGGGGGGGGGGTCAGTGAGTTGCAGAATGTGCTATAGACCCCTAGGAAGTCAGGCCTGCCTTTATACCCGACTCTGCTGCCTTGTCCTTTCCTCATTGGTGTCTGTGGGTCAGGTGTCTCTTGGTCAGCAGTCTCTGGGCATCGGGCAGGCTTGGCTGAGGGAGGAAGTGCCCGCCGCGCATACTCATGCAGGCTAGCCTGGGCACGTGGACATTGCAACTGCAGCTTGGGTAGGCCGGCAGGCAGTTTCTCCTACATTTTAAAAACAGTTTTAAGTGTGTGAGTGTTACGTTAAGTATGGGCACCACCCATGTGCCTTATTTCCGTGAAGGGCACAAGGGGGGCGAGGGTTGGAGTCTACGGAACTGGAACTGCAGATGGTCATGGGAAGAGCCTGGGATGGCACAGGCGTAGCGGACTCCCATCCTCCTGTTCCTCGGGAGGGAAATGCGCGGTTTACCTCTGTCGACTGAAGAGCCAGCTTGGGGTTCTGCTTGGATGTCTGGCCCAGTACTTGAATTCATTCCCTTTCAGGGCCGCTGTCCTGGACAAATTGCGGCATCCCTTCTCCAGACAGCCCCTGGACTTCCCTGATGCCCTTCAGTTGGTCGTTGACAAGGCACAGGCTGGTGTTGTTAAAAATGTCTAGGTTTACCCAGTAACGAGATACAAACCGTGACTCAACAATCCCACGTGGAGTTTTATTGGTGGGCAGGGAGGGAAAGGGGGGTGAGGGATAACCAACCCGCAACCCGTGCAGAGCTGAAAGGAGAGGGGTAAGATGAGAGAGAGAGAGAGAGAGAGAGAGAGAGAGAGAGAGAGAGAGAGAGAGACAGAGAGAGAGACAGAGACAGAGAGAGAGACAGAGAGACAGAGAGACAGACAGAGAGGATGAGAGTAAGAGAGAGAGAAAGTAAAAGAGAGCATAAGCCGGCAGGGGTCAGTCCTTTAAAGGGGTCCTGTGTGGTTCTCACGGAACTCTGGGCTGGCCAGAGTGTTGCCTGAGTGCATCCTGCCAGGTAACAGGGCAGGCCAGCTTAGTGGCTGAACCTTTCAGCTGGTGCCTTCCTCGCCCGTCCCTGGCTTCTCACACTGGCCCCAGCTTGCTTGATTCACAGGGCTTGTGGATAGAGGGCAATCCTTTGGGAAAATAAACACCCAGAGGCAGGGGCAGTCCCCTCCATTTCCCCCTCACCCGTCCACCCCTCAGTCCACTCTATTACGTCCTGATCTGCCAGGAGAGAGGCAGACTGAAGACTGCTATGCAATTTGTCCTTTAATCAAAACCATCACAATTTGTGGCTCTGTGTCCTGATTGTCCCGGCTCCCAAGCTCCCTGATTCTATGCTTTGTCCTTGAGTTTTTTTTGGGGGGGGGTTAAATTTTTTTCCACTCTTCCTTCTGATTTCTGGGTTATTGAGTTAGAAACATCCTTGCTCAACTGGAGGCAGCTGGGCTCCGGGAATATGGGTTGTGTGGGGGGAGGGGGTCACTTTTCCTGCCGTGAGGGACACAAAGTTCTGCCTTTCAGAGGCTTGAGGTCCCTCTGCTTGCCAACCCCTTCCCCCCTTGGTTCCCAGCCCCAGAGATTATAAGGAGGAGAGCTTTTCTTCTTGACCTCACTTGAACCTTACCCCCCGCAGAGCCAGGAGTCAAAGGTCACTTTCTCAGCTTCCCCGGCTGGAGAGAACTAAAGGCTGTCGTCTTCCCGCTTTGTGCACCCCTGAAAGCCCTCCGTGGGAAGGGTCAGCGACCCACTCGCTGTGCGCTTTGAGCTAACCCGCCTCGCGATTGGGTGGAAACAGTGTCTAGACTCACAACTGCCTGCCTGCCTGCCTGCCTTTCAGGAGGGGACTGACCGGGTCACCTGCCCAGAGATGAGGGACTTATCCCGTTCAATGTCGGCTTTGAGTCGGGAAGACAAGGAAGAGGACAGAAGAGAGCTAAATGGGAGAAAAAGAAGAAGGCAGGCAAGATAAAGAGTCGCTTTGGGTACTGGCTGCCCCTCGGCGCCGGCAAGAGCCAGCTTGGTGTGGCCGCCAGACCCTTGCTCAGCGATGCCAAGCCAAGCTTCCTCAAGCCAGCCCCGAGGAAGAGCGTCTGTGAGGCGCACTGTCCATCTTCTTCTTCGGTGGCGATGACACGGAAAGTCAGACTTCGGGTTCTTCTGAAAACCCTACCTGGAAGCTTTGCTTCCATCTCTGCCGACTGCGATGTTTTTCCAGAACCTTCCAGTGGAGGCAGGTTCCTGGATTACATACAGTTCCACCCGTGTGCCTTCTCCAAAGAGCCTGGAAACATAGATTAAGGGACCCAAGACATCACCTCAGTCCCCTGGAGTGGTGTGTGTATGCCCCCCTCCTTCCTGCTGCCCTCACAACCCACACAGTGCCGGGGACATGTTTTTATTTATGAAGGATGAAAGCTGAGTCCTCGTAGGTACGCGTCTTCTAACCCCACCTTTCTGGGAATGTGTGAACACGTTTTCAGGAAATTAACCCCCTCCAAGAGTTTTGTTGAGCACTGGGGATTCAGTTTAGCTTAGTTGTAATGTGTTCTCCCAGCAAGCTCAAGGCCACAAGCTAAACCCCTGGTAACGAAACAGGTAAACAAAATACCTATTTTTTTCTAGGCATGGTGGCACTCATCTGTCATCCTGGCGCTTGGGAGTAGGAGGTCGAATGATTTAGGAGTTCAAGCATTCTTGGGTACACAGTGAAGTTGAGGCCAGCCTACACTGCGTGAGACCATATCTCAAACAAACAAACAAACAAACAAACAAACAAACAAACAAAAAGCCCCAACAATTGGACTGGAGAGAGCTCAGCAATTAAGAACACTTGCTGCTCTTGCTGAGGACTGGGATTTGGTATCACCACCCACGCCAGGCCACTGAAACTGACCCATAAGTCCAGCTCTGAGGGATCCAACACCCTCTTCTGGCCTCTGTGGACATCCACATGTGTGTTTGCATATGTGTATACATATGTATTCATAGACACACCCACAAATAAACATGCATATCCATAATAATTAAAAATTAAAAAATCCTAAAAAAACCTACAACAACAAAAAACATTGTTTAGGGTCAGAGACTTGTTCCCTCCTGGCTAGTAAGTACTTGTCTAGAGGGCACTGAAAACAGTATTTATTTTTGTTTTTATGTGCAGTTTGTGTCTGTGTCTGCCAAGCGTCAGGATGTCTGACGATGATGTCAGACTCAATGAAGCTGGAGTTAGGTAGCTGTGAAACACTCTATGTGGGTACTGGGGTCCTCTGGAAGAGCAGACGGTACTCTTAACCACGGAGCCATCCCTACAGTCTCACAGGGGGCACAGCTGAGCACACACACACCATGTCTCGTATAAGCACAGTGCTGAGACATCAATCTGTTTTGCGATTGGCACACAGACACTGATGAGTAACAGGTGCCCCCCCACACCCCGGTGGTTTGTTTGTCTCTAGTCCATAAGTGGGATGGCAATCATCTCGGGACACTCTGTGCATGCAGAGTGCATATGTGAGACCAAATACAGGGCCTGCAACCTTAAGAGCCAGGTGGACAGGTATAATGGATTGTTTGGGTCTGGTCGTGGTTACCTTGCCTGTGACCCCTGCTGTCGTCAGGGGAGGCCAGCTAAGGGTTTCTCTTAGTTGGAACTGAAACCAGTGCCAGATTTGGGGCTTGTAGGGTTTGCCTGCTACTACGGGCCCGGGGCAGTTTTAAGCAGCAGGGAGCAGTTTCTATCATTACAATGTCTGATTTCAATAACAGTTAATGTGAAGGGAAAGTCATGATGTGATGCGTTTGGCTGCCTGGAACATTAGTCCCAGTTTTTTGACATCCGGCACACACACACACACACACACACACACACACACACACACACACACTCCCAACCTCCCTCACTGTCTCGCATGGTCTTCAGGTCCACGCAGATCTGCTGAGCACTGCCCGGTGAGCTCCCTTTGCACCCCAGTAGATGGTGCTTATGGCCAAGGAGCCCTCCGAAGGGAAGGTTCGTGCCGGAAGTGGCATGCGCCACACGTCGTGAAAACATTAGTCCAGGCAAGGTGTGATGGGTCAGCCAGGGAAGGTGCTTGTCTTGAAATCTTGGCAACACGAAATTTTTGAGCTCCAGAAACCCTCATGGTCACAGGAGAGAACTGACTCCCCACATGAAATGTTGACAAGTAAAATAATGTGAAAGGCATTGGGCCCTGATATCCTCCATTGCTTTTACTCTGATGCCTAGATTCCAAAGCCACCAACTCCTAATACCACATAGTGGGCGTGAGCGTGAGGTGCTGCGTGCTTCCCCGTGCCCTTTTGTGAGCCAGAGGACACCGGCTCTGGGAGCGTTAGATCAGCCAAGCCTGATGGGCTGCCCTGGTAACGGTGTGGATGTTCCTCTGGAGAAACAAACAAGGATCCGTAGCACGCAGCCGAGGAAGAGGACACCCCACCTAAAGCCGGACGTTGCGCCTGGAGGAGACACAGCTGGGGGCGGCATAAAAGAACTTGGTAAAACGCGTCATCTGCAGTCTCATGAAGTGTGTGTGTGTGGCAGGAAGCAAATGCATTGAGGCCAGAACTCCACACCAAATCGTGTCCCACTTAACACACACTGCACCCAGTGCTTCCTGCCCCCGGGGTTAATAAAAAATGATACTGATGGCTGCCAAGAAAAAGTTCCAAATACAGTAGAGAAAACTGTAGAATCCCAGGAGTTTAAGGCATTTTACTTTGGAAATTTAAAGCATCTAGTTCTCCCACTAGTCGCATATAGATCTGCTGTTTCTAGAAGCTGTCCAGTTCCTCCAAAGTCTCCACTCTGGCAGGGTTGATGGCACACGGCTTTAGTCCCAGGACCGGGCAGAGGCAGGTGGTTGTCTGTTAAATTCACCAAAGCCAGCCTTTTCTACGTAGCAAGTTCCAGGTCAGCCAGGGCTTTATAGTGAGACAATCTCTCTCAGAGGAGGAGGAGGAGGAGGAGGAGGAGGAGGAGGAGGAGGAGGAGGAGGAGGAGGCCCCAGTTCCCATTTAGTATGACTAAAACTTTCACTTCCTGGGCTGAATAGTAATAGGCTTTAGTGTCCGTCCCCAAACCCCAATCTGTCATGCACACCCGCCCCTTCTGGAACAGTGGCTCACCACTCACTAACTTTCTGTCCTCTGTGATCATATTTGTGGTTTGGAGCAGTCACTAAGAAGGAAGAACTTGGGAGCTTGGCCGGACCCTGAGAGTCACCAACGGCAAAAGGCACCATGAAAACCGGGTCATGCTGCAAAAATAATAGGTTAGTTCTTATGCAATTGGAAAATGAGGAGAAGCAACCCAAATATACACACACATGCACAAACACACACATACATACATATACACACATGCATACACACATACACACATTATACATATATACACATACATATACACACATACACACACGCACACATACATAAACACACATACACACATACATAAACACATATACACACAATATGCATACATACACACATGCACACATACATATATGCACATACACATACATACACACATGCACACATACATAAACACATATACACATACACACATTATACATACATATACACACATACACACATACATGGGCATACACACACATGAGTATCTGAGAGATAACTGTGATGCTGGAGTTGGGCAGAAAGCTCATGGGAAAGGATGGGGATGGCTCACTCTCCACTACCCATGGCTGCTGGGCTGCTGCATCTTCTTCCGGGCAGGCTTTGTCCCAGAGACACAACCCAGACAGGGGATCACTAGCTCTGTGACACCAAGCTGCCCCAAGCCCTCCAGTGAGCAGTGCACAGGAACAGTTTTTATAACTTTATCTATTACCCTTGTGTGTGGTGGGGGCGGGGTCTGAGAGCTCTCCTTCCACTGCCGGCTCCAGGAACTGAACTCAGGTCTCCATCTTAGACAGCGTTCAGGTGATTCCACCTGCTGAGAGCCATCTTGCTGGGCCATGAGCAGTCTTAAGTATCCAGTGGCCCTGGCTGTCCTCGAATGGTTGCAGTTTCCGTGTCCCGTCATAAATGAAGTGTGTTAGAGTCCTCTCTGCCTAGATGAGCTCGACAGGTGGCTGGCTGGGGCCTGTGCTCCTGCTTGCTTCGCATTTTCCATTTTAGGGGAATATGCCATCAGGGCATAGAGATGTATGCAGCACTTTAAAACTGCAGATCTGTTTTGACTCCTGATATAGACCTGTATCAATCCAGGTAGACCTGTATCAAACCAGATAGACAACAGCAAAGACACTGACTGGTCTGTGGTGTTACTGGGTCCTGAGCAGTCAGGGGCTGGTTCTTGGGGGCTTCAGAGGAGGTTTCAGCCAAGGAGGTATTGGCCAGCTGTCTACTCTTCAATGTAGACACGGTTTCTGTGGTCCTACGGCCCATCAGCCCCCAAATAAACACATAAAGACTTATAATAATTTATAAGCTGTTTGGCTGATGGCTCAGGCTTCTTCTTGGCTAGCTCTCTCTTAGTTATTAACCCATAACTACTAATCTATGTATTTCTACATGGTTTTATCTTACCAGAGAACTTCTGGCATCTTAGCTTCCCAACAGCTACATGGCATGGCGTCTGTCCCTGGCAGCTCCTTTCTGCATCCTCTCCACAGAATTCCCCTTGTTTGGAAGCCCTGACCATACTTCCTGACTTGTTACTGGCCAATCCGTGATTCATTCATCAACCAATAAGAGAAACACCTATACAGAAGGACATCCCCCATCATTTCAAGGTAAAGTGTCACCACACCCACATGAGGAGTCATTGGTCATTTTAATACAAGTTCACAGACCTCTTTTTTACAGTTTGCTGATGTTTCTGGTTAACTCTGATGGAGGGAAGTCCTTCTGTCTATATGTTTGTCTCATTGGTTGATGAATAAAGCACTGTTGGCCAATAGGGAAGCAAGATAAGTGGGACTAGGAGAGGTGGAGGATTCTGGGAAACGGAGGCACAGTCAGTCACCATGTAGGACACTAGAGGAGTCCTTCTTTGGTAAGAGAAGACCATGTGGAAATACTCAGATTAGCAGTTATGGGTTAGTAATTAAGTCAGAGCTAGCCAACTAGAACCCATACCAAACGGCCAACAGCTTCATAATTAATATAGCGTCCTGCGTGATCATTTGAGACTGACGCGGCTCTGGGACCAGGATGGCGGGAAGAATCTCATTACATACCTCCCCCCTGTAGTGGTCGGCAGTATTTATATCTGTCTGTGCCTGGGGGGTCTGAAGGGACCGCATGAACTCTGCAGAATATGAGTGGTTCTAAAACTGACCTGTTGCTGACGGTGGCTGTGGTGGTTTGAGTGTAACTGGCCCCCGTGAGCTCATGGGGAGAGGCACTATCAGGAGGTATGGCTTTGCTGGAGTAGGTGTGGCCTTGTTGGAGGGAGGGTGTCACTGTGGGGGCGGGCTTCAAGGTTTCCTGTGCTCAGGTCACCACCCAGCATCTCAGTTGGCTTCCTGTTGACTGCCTGCAAGATGTAGGACTCTCAGCTACTACCCCAGCACCATGTCTGCTGCAAACCATGATGTTGCTGTGGGAGGCTGTGCTTTGAGGTCTCCTTTGCTCAAGCTTCTCTCGGTGTGACACTCAGACCACTTCCTGTTGCTTTCAGGTCAGGATGCGCAAGTCCGAGCTCCTTCTCCAGCACCGTGTCTGCCTGCACACCGTCATGTCATACTGTGATGATAAAGGACTAAAACCCCCGAAAATGTTAGCCACCCAAGTGAAATGCTTTTCCTTTGTAAGAATTACCATGGTCATGGGATCTCTTCGCAGCAACAGAAACCCCAACCAAGACTCTAGTGGCTTTTCCACTTGACCTTAGGGCAGCAGTTTTCAGCCTGTGGGTCATGGCCCCACTGGGAGTCGAACGAACCTTTCACAGCGGTTGTAGACCAGATACCTTGCATATCAGGTGTTCGCATTATGCTTCACGACAGTAGCAACGTTATAGCTATGAAGCAGAAAGGAAACAATTTTATGCTTGGAGGGGGTCACCACAACATGTTAAGGGGCCGCAGCATTTAGGAAGGTTGAAAACCACTGCCTTGGGGAAATCAGCATTTCAAACAGAGGAAAGTATCCCCAGATTTTTCAGATGAGATAGTTTTGATGCTATTAAAGGAGGCAAGGGATCTCTTGTGCTGGGAGCACTGTGCCGGCCAGAACCCCTCTTGGCTTTAGGGGTACAAGGCAAGGAGGGACTGAAGGGCATCACAACTTCCCAAGCTAAAGGTGAGAGGGGGTGCATGCGATCCATGTTCGAAAGCTCTTGTCTAGTCTCAGCTGCCGGGAGGCCACTGTCACTCACTTTATGGGTGGCTTTAGGTGATATGCATCTAATCATGGTTGCATCGAGAGGAAGTTGGGGACCACGTGGTGGTGGCTGCTGTGTCAAAGGCTGTTAATAAAGGATGAAAAAAAATGGAGCCTTCAGAAGCGAGGCTTGGGAGCTGGAGAGACGGCTCAGCAGTTGAGAGCACTGGCTCTGCTCCTCCAGAGGACCTGGCTTTGAGTCCGGGCATCCACACGGCAAGGTTCACACTCTCTGACCGAGCACTGACAACTTCGAGGGTTTTCTGTAGCTCTGGAGGTGACCCCCGCATGACTTCTCAGATCTCTGGCGGCTCCCATAGTCATTTCCACCAAGCTCATGGGTTCCAGTGGTGTCCTCCATACATAATAACTTCGATGGGACTTTCCACATTTCTTGTGCAAGTGCCCGCCGGTGGCTTCTACAGTATCTTCCATGGTGTCAAATATAAGAGAAACACACTCTCCTTGTAGGGACCACAGACCCTGAGATCTGGTGGCCAGAGGTAACTGGACTTTACGTTTGAGTGGGGGGGGGATGTCAAGCTGCTGGCATGTCCGGAGCTCTCCTCCAGCTTCAGACCATTTGTTGACACTGGTGAACCAAGGGAGGACTGAGGGATGTTGTGTACACACAGAGCCTGCGGGCTTTGCTCACACACACTGGCCGTCAGGCACGCCTCCGAGTCACGCAGTTCTGTAAACAACTGACAATGAGGTGGTCTTCTAGTGACCCTGTCTGTATACTGAGTTGATGGGTTCCAGGCAGTGTGGCAGCTGGCAGGGGTCTTTACAAACACCACTGGGCTCCTACCTTAGCTACCAGTTTATGCAGCTCAAATACACACGCTTTTTCCTTCCATCCCCATCCCACCCCTTCCCCCTTCTCCCTCCTTCTGGGCCGGCCGCCACTGCCTCCGTCATCCGGCTTCCTCAACTCCACCTGCCTTTGTAACCGCTATGAACTTTGCCAGCCCTTGTGAGGAGCCAGGAGCCACACGCCTCACCCCTCCCTGTCCTCTTCCCTGGTGGGCGGAGCAGCTCTGCTTCAGCTCCGGTTGCTAGGTTGCTATGACTCTGTTGCTAGGATCAGGCTGTCTCCATCCCCAGCAGGAAACATGTAATGAATTATGGATGGCTGGTTCTCTCCGAGGCCTGATCTGTAATGCAGATGAGCTCAAAGCAACCCCTTTTCTTCTGTTTTCTTAAGGAAAAAAAAAAAAGAGAGAGAAAATCAGTTTTAAATCTGAAGCAGGGCTGTCCAAGCCCCAGTTGCCCCTGGCGGTGGCTTCTTCTGAGGAGGGTTCTGATTCTCTTGTAGCAGAGTATGGCCAGGCTCTGCTGCTTGTCCTGGGGGCTGTGCAGGATTTTCTCTGGGTCTGTGACCCTATGGGGACATGCTCTGTCCTCCCTCCCTCTCTCTCTCTCTCTCTCTCTCTCTCTCTCTCTCTCTCTCTCTCTCTCTCTCTCTCTCTCTCTCTCTTTTTGTGCTGAGAGGCAAAATAGGATATAGACACTAGACACGATATATTTTTTTAAGAGCGTGGCCTCCTCTAGCCCCCGCCCCAGAAACCGTCACAGGTGAGGCAAGAGAGATCCTACAGTGCAGGGTCACCGTCAGCATAGTTGCCTGCCTCTCCCCCACTGCCCTGACACCAGGGGTCAGAGGACAGAGGCTCTGTCCTCTATCTTCTTCTGCTTTCCGGCATCCAGTGACTGTCTATGAGAGGGGATGCCAGGAGGAAGGCTCAGCCCTAAGTGACCCTTCCAGGTGTCCTATGGGAGCCAGCTCCAGGCTCTAGCATGCATGTGGAGCCGTGCTGCGGTGATGAAGGTTGCACAGAACTATTGACGGGACATCACACTGTGAAGAGGGAGTCATGGGAATTTGAGGAAGTCCGTGGTTTGCTCCGGTGAGCCGTTTGGTGTGCGCCAAATGCTCACTGCACAGCATGCGTTCCTGAGTTCAGGTCCCCGGTGCCTATACACGGATGCTGTTTGTGGGACTGTGAGACTAACGCCAGTGCTGGGGTGGAAACAGGAGGACCCCAGGGGCTCATAGGTTAGCCGGACTACTGAAATAGTGAGCTCCAGGATCAGTGGGAGACTCCGTCTCAAAAAATAGCTTACTGCGGAAGACACTGAAGTCCACCTCTGGATTCCACATGAGGGAGGGAGAAGGGGAACATAAACTAAGAGGAGGAGGCTGGAGAGAAGGCTCTGCAGTTAGGAGCACCGGCTGGCTGCTCTTGCAGAGTGAAGATGGAAACGGGCCATGCCAAGGGTACTGGGAAGAGGATTGTTGGATACTTTATTAAAGAGAGAGAGAGAGAGAGAGGTCACTTACATGAGAAGCTGAGAACCGGGATCAGCACCTTCTGATCTCCGACCATGATTGCAGCTCCGAGAGAAGGAGAGAGAGAGAGAGAGAGAGAGAGAGAGAGAGAGAGAGAGAGAGAGAGAGAGAGAGTGTGTGAGCACGTGCCTCCTCTCCTCAAGCTCTTATATCCATCCCTACTATGTACCTGTGACCACACCCGAGTGGGCGTGGTCAGCTGTGCAGGTCTCTCCCTACAATTCCCCTTTTAGTCTAAAGGAAAGATTTAGACTTAAGACAAAACCGAATTGTGTCAACATACAGAATGTCTATAAAGCCTATATATGTAGATACATATATAAACAAATTATAATCTACCTATATCGAATCCTAAACATATCTATCCCATCTAAACCTTAAACTTATCTGAAAGAGATGCCCAAGCCTGTAAACCTCCTTCCAATCCCAACCCCAAATAATTGAACACTAACTCTAAACAGGTGTAAATCCTCAACAGTAGGGAAGGGGCGTAGTATTTCTTTCCCTACAGCAGAGGACCGGCTTTTGATTCCCAGCCTGCACACAGCAGCTCCCAACTGTCCGTATCCCCAATACTAGGGGATCCAATGCTCTCTTCTGACCATCACAGGCACTGGAAACTCATAGGCGGTGCACAGACTGACATGCGGGCAAAACACCCGAACACTTAAGAATAAATTATTTTCTTTATTAAACAAACCTAAAAAATCATTTTCAGTCATTCATGTGACCAAGGATTAAGTATCCAGACTATACAGAGAACTAAAAAAAAAAAAAAAAAAAAAAAAGCTAAACACCAAGCTTTCTTCCCCAAATTATCCAGTCAGTAAGTGGGCAGATGAATTGAACAGGCAATTCTCAAGTTGGGTACAAATGGCCAATAAGTATGTGCATAAAAACAGATGTTCACGGAATCGGTATCCACTGGGGAAATACAAGCCAGCGGAACACAGAGATGGCATTTCCTGCCCAGCAGAGTGATCACCACCACAGCAGCAAAGTTGGCATGGATGGGAAGGGCACCCTCGTCCGCAGCTGGAAGGAGTGTGAAACCAAAGCTAGAGCCTCATCCGATCCAGCTGCGCCACTCGCGAGACTATAGACCGAAGCGGGGACTCTGTGCCAGCATGGGCTAGAGATGCCTGAACAGCAACGCGCACCCCAGTCAAGGCACGGGCTCAGTCTGGCTGCCCATCGGCAGATGAACGGACCAAGAGAATGTGGTGCCCGTGCTGGAGAGAGACTACTCCTCCGGCTGGCGAAGTGTCACCAATGCAAGCATCAGGGCTTGAGTACAGATCCCAGCACCTAACACAAGCTGGGTGGGCGTGGTGGAGCGTGTCTACAAACCCAGAGCTGGGGTAGAATCAGTCATGATTGCTTCTGTAACTCGGGCCCTGACCAGAGCCTGGGAGGAGACTGGGGCGCAGGCAGGTTCTGCTTTAGTAGGGAAGCGAGTGAGACCCACGGAGCTTGGAGACCCACAGAGCTTGAAAAACAACAAGCCAATTTGCTGGAAAGGTGCCGGGCCAGCACGGGCAGAGATGGAGCCCCCGTGCTGGTTGCTGCCTGCCTCCCAGCAGGGCCTCTCAGCACCCCAGGCTCACAGCCATCAGGCAGGGGGAGGAAGCCGGAGAGAAAGAACTTTTATTTCAGAGGCAGAGTCTTCGTGCTAGAATGACGAAAAAGCACTTGAGGTGAGAATTACATTTGTTGCCCCCATCTGGGAGTGTTTATTGAACAGCAGCCGGGTCAGTGCACGGAGTCCAAGACACGGGGTCCTAAGTAATGGATTAGTGGAACAGCCTTCCAGTCTCTCCCAGAACATCGTATATTTGTTTGAAGCTTGATTCTCTCCTCCCTTCTTCCCTCCTCCCTCTCTCCTCTACTCTCTCTCTCTCTCTCTCTCTCTCTCTCTCTCTCTCTCTCTCTCTCTCTCTCTCTCTCTCTCTCTCTCAGATTTAGAGTATTGGGTCACAGTTTTGACTCAGAGTCCCATAAGGAACAGCTGTGATTGCCTTCCAACGTGAAAGAC